CCTTGGGACTAATTTTTAATTTTTCCTTTCTGCGGTTGCTCTGCTCCGTTGCGTCAGCCAGTCTTTCAGATTCACAGCAGGTACACCTATCCATGCTTACTCAGAACTCAGTCGCACTATTTTCAGTTGGGTTTCCTCACGAGTAAGGGTGCATAGCGTTGTAGACTCAGCTGCCTTCCAGGCCAATTCGAAGTGCTGGTTTTGACCTATGAAGCTATAAATGGCTCAGGACCGCAATTCCTCGAATACCGTCTCTCTTCGTATGAACCAATCTGAGCCCTGCGTTCATCAGGCCCTTCTCCGTCTGCCTCCTCCTTGAGAGGTGCGGAGGGTGGCGACAGGGGAACGGGCCTTCTCTGCAGTGGCTCCCTGTCTGTGGAATGCTCTCCCCAGGGAGGTTTGGGCGCCAGACAAAAACCAGGTCTTTGGCTGTTTGATATCCCCTGCCATTTTAAAATGTGTTGTAGGAAGGGGGATTATTGGGTTGTCTTTGTAGGTTTTTAATTATTATTACGTATTTTGTGCTTTTTAAATCGTAATTTTATGTTGTGAACTGCCCTGAGACCTGCGGGATGGGGCGGTATACAAATTTAATAAATAATAATAATAAAGATTCAAAGTAACATGTAAACATGTAACATGTAAGCATGTCAGTGCAGCATGGCATGGCATAGCATAGCATCCCCCCATATACATAACCAAAAACAGTGTCCACGCCTCTCTTAAAAAACATAGGCTATTCTACTGTTTTCCATTACATATTGTTGTCAACAGAGATTTTCAACTCTGACAAATACGAAAGATCAGAAAAGGGGGGGGGATTGTGTTGTTGGGGAGATGAGAGTTTGTCTCAAATTTTGTCTTATAAATGGCATTACCTGACAAAAGCAACTTCACACCTCCCATTCAGTTTGTATATATACTTAAGGTACATATGTAAGAGGCTTGTTTTTAATTTTATTTTGGGAATAATTCATGTTGTTATGTAGCTTCATTTTTTCACACTTTCTGGATGCTTCGTGATCATATTATATAGCAGCTGTGTTCTGTGTTATAAATTAAGCACAGCTAAGCATTGTTTCTTTTTGTTTTCCAGTGTATTTTATTATCAATAAAAAAATGGTATGGCATGAGCAAATTTTTATTCTGAAAGTGTGGCCCAGAGAAAACAGTTTGAGAACCACTGGTTTAGCTAGTTGGGAGAGGGGAGGCTTCTCACGCCCTTAGAATCCTAGAACTGTAGAGCTGGAAAGGGTCCCGAGGGTCATCTAGCCCAACCCCCCGCAATGCAGGAATCCAAACTAAAGCATCCGTGACAGACGACCAACTTCTGCGTAAAAACCTCTAAAGAAAGAGAATCCACTTCCTGGGAAGTTTTTCAGCAGAGGTTGGGTGGTTATCTGTCATGGGTTCTTGTTGTACCGCCCAACTCTGTGATTCTAAGAACGTTGCAATAAGAAAACTCCTCTCCTGGGAAGATGTATCCTTAATTGCGGGCAGAAGCTAGTGGTATACAATAAAGTTTCCCGCAAGTTTTTCTTTAAGGTGAACGCTGAAGGTGTCTGCTGAATTTCTATTGGTGGAGCCTTTGGACCAATGACAAGACAGGCTTTGTTTCAGGTGGTTTGAGGAGCCTCGCCCAGGACAGTTCAGCAGCTGAACTGACTCGGTAGCGAGCGGGAGGCAAACTGAAGCAGCTTCTGCGGCCGGCGATTCTGAATCTGAGGAGAGAAAAAGGTAAGACTGAGAGCTCCAGGAGCCTCCTCGGTTCACCCGGGCTGACTCGCGTTCCGAATCCTCCGCAGGGACTTCCAGAAGTGCATTTGGAGGGGGCTCCCACCTTGCAGGAAAGCGCCCCCGCTGCTCCCACTGCCCCTTGTCGCCTCCGAGACCATTTGTCTTCGAAGCGGAGCAAACGGTCCGGGGGGGATGGAAACACATAGGTTTTTCTATGCGGTAGGGATAGCATTTCAACTGAAGCCCCAATTTTTCAGGTCCTAAAGATGAGCATCCAAAGATGCGTATGCGCCGGGATGCTGTTCCGAAGGGATGTGCGCGTGCGCGCGTGGAGCGACTGTGGTGGGAATCGGCACCTGCTCGAACTTAAACAATTGCAAAAGTTTATGCGCCTAAGAACTTGAAAGGATACGCATGCATGGGGGACCGGGAACAAAACGCTGGGGTCGGGCTTCCTTGTGCCCTAATATTCGAGTTAGCTGTGTGTCGCCTGCCCTGGTCCCCGTAGCACCCGCTCTCTGCGCTTGCATGGCTTCTGTTTTGCAACAAGGAAGGGGTGATTTTGGGGTGGTGGTGGTTTGGTGTTGGAAGATTTAACTTTCCTATCCTCAGCTGTCCCCAATTAGGTTTAGAAGAAACCTTTTGTTGAGTCTTCCCCTCTCTCCTTGCAAGGAGACTTGAACACGGATCATCTCCCCACGCCACAGCAAATCAAATTAAACTCGGAAAAAGCGCCACAAAATATTTATTTTCGTGGGGAGGGTGAGTGTGCATACATGAAAGTTTGGGGCGTCCTTCGCAGATTCTTAGCTTCTCGAATGTGCTGCAAATGAGCTGGCAGCAACCGCTGCCCTTCATAGGAGTCTTTTTGTTTTGGAGACCAGCCTTTCGCTTATGCGTGGTTTGCCCCGTTGCCGTTTGCCTGTAGTTGAGCCTCCTTATTCCCCTCATAGCTGTCAACCTTCCCTTTTTTGGCGGGAAATTCCCCTATTCCAGCGCCGTTTCCCGCTGCTATCCCGGATTGTTAGATATCCCGTAGACTGTCCCCGGAACAGGTGAGGCTGCTGATCCCTTATTTTCAAATCTGAAAAACATTTGTTCTCCAAATGTTTTAGGTGGAGGCTGGTGAAAGTTGTTCTGCAAAGCCTCTGGAGCGGGCAGCAAATTGGCAAAAAGTTTCGTTTTTGTGGACCAGTGCAGTTTGGCGACGAGAACAGAGGTAGAGTTTTGCTTATTGTAATCTTAGGCTCGTCCAGGGAGGATAAAAGTGAATGGTTGAATCTCAGAGCTGGAGTCACTTAGCTCAGGCTCCTATTGATGGAACCTGTCTGCTGAAATTGTGCAAACCATTCGGGAACCAGATGCCAGGAGCCGCGGTATAGAACTATTTCCAATGAATGCATTAAATACCATTGAAAGAAACCACCCCCGTATGGTACTCCACAAGAATTATTTTATTTATTTTATTTTCCTTAAAGTTTAAGCACTGCTTGACTGTATAAAAATATCATTTCAAAGCGATTTACCGGGGGGGGGGGGAATAAAACAATGACTTTAGATGTGAAAACTGTTAAAAACAAGTATTTAAACATTCAAAGAATAATCATTAAAATCAATGATGAGCCACAAACATTTCAATATTCTACATATCTTGATAGGATTGCCTAAACGGACATGTTTTAATTTTATCTTTTCTTTTTATTTTTATTGAATCTTCAACAGAAAATAGAAAGGAGAAGAAAAAAAGAATCACAATTATTAACATTACCAAAAATATGATGAATGAAAACAGGTTTGTTATGATTCACACGTTTTTTTAAAATAGCTGTTATTTACGGTATTTATTTCGAAAACATGTTATTTTACTTTCTTAGCTAAAGAGTTTGGATAGTGTGTATGCCAGCCTGAAAATAAGTATTTATTTATGAAAGCTCAACTATATTATAAACTGAGATAACTCCTTTGTTATGTACCCCATTACCTGAACCTCATTAACTTTCTGTATGTTTTACACTATGGTTGTAAAATGTTTAATGATGTTTTTATGGGTTTGTGGGGTTTTTTTTTGTAAACTGCTTTGAGTCCCCCCACCCCACCCTCTAGTAGTATATTCATTTTATGAAATAAATAAAATAAATAAATAAATAAGCAAAAAGAAATATCAAATTGCATAGAAATTGCCATGATTACTTTGACCTCTTGCAACTTTCAGTTTGTGGGATAATTCTTCTAATAGCACTGTTTGCGAAACTACAGTGTACCATTGATCCAGATTTAAGAAATCCAAAGCTTTCCAAGATCTGGCTATGTCAGTGTGAGCTTCAGTTAACAGATATATAAGTCCTTACTTAGTAAATGCATTGTTTCTCCTGTAAATACATCAGGTAGAGCCAAATAAGAACAGAGAGGACTACTTTGTGCTGTGATCAGTGAAATACTATTCCAAAAAGTTGCTTTGTTGGAGTAGTCCCACCACTTGTTTTTGGACATACCAAGGCCTGCACAGCCCCTCTAGCATACAGGAGTTGGTTTTGTGAAGGACAGCGGCCTGAAGGTCAAGCACCAGCCATGGCTGACTTGAGAGGACGTTCCTTTGTCAAAGCCAATGAAGACTTGTATGGTCTCTTTGACCAGCTTTCCTCCTTTATTTGCCAGTTTGATTCCCACCATCCACAGGGGTTTGCTTAAAAGAAGTGAATAAAATGTTGATTAATGTTTTATAACATATAGAAAATAGTCATTTTAGTAGATTGGCTTCTCCTATAATTAGTTTTTCAGCACTTCTCAGTTGTCAGCTAGCCCCCTTTTTATATAGTTTGAGCAATTAAAATGAAATACTTTAACTGGCACCCACGAGATTCTATATCCTGGTATGTATATAGTTCTAATTTTCTCAATGTTTAATTGCTTTTTAATTACCCCCTCCCCATGCTTATAGCAGTTCTTTTAGAGGGCCTTCTATTTTACATACATATCTTAATTACCAGATGCACCAGATGGACGGGGTATAAATAATAAATTATTATTATTAATTATTATAATTATCATTATTGCTATTACTTTTATTTCACAGTAAAGAGGAAGGAAAAGGAGAGACTGGCCCACAGCCTTCGGATGAGGGAGCAGCTGGCACCAGTACTGACTCTCCTGTTGAGGGGGAAGAAGAAGCCCTGGCAGTATTTGACGTGCTTGAAGAAATTGTAGAATTGTATGCAGATGAAGATGATCAGTTTGTAGACCTATCCCTGGCAAGGGAGGATGATATGGATGCTCTGTTCCCAATGTTGGCAGCAACTCTAGGAAGCGATCAGGAGGGGCAAGAGGATCAGGAGGGGCAAGAGGGGCAAGAGGATCAGGAGGGGCAAGAGGGGCAAGAGGGGCAAGAGGATCAGGAGGGGCAAGAGGGGCAAGAGGGGCAAAAGGGGCAAGAGGATCAGGAGGGGCAAGAGGATCAGGAGGGGCAAGAGGATCAGGAGGGGCAAGAGGATCAGGAGGGGCAAGAGGATCAAGAGGATCAGGAGGGGCAAGAGGATCAGGAGGGGCAAGAGGATCAAGAGGATCAGGAGGGGCAAGAGGATCAGGAGGGGCAAGAGGACCAGGAGGATCAGGAGGGGCAAGAGGACCAGGAGGATCAGGAGGGGCAAGAGGACCAGGAGGATCCGGAGGGGCAAGAGGATCAGGAGGATCCGGAGGGGCAAGAGGATCAGGAGGGGCAAGAGGGGCAAGAGGATCAGGAGGGGCAAGAGGATCAGGAGGATCAGGAGGGGCAAGAGGATCAGGAGGATCAGGAGGGGCAAGAGGATCCAGAGGAGCAGACCGAATTTGACACAGATGAATTTGTTGATGCTTTATCATCATTTATGGACTTAACTCAACTGGAAGACGAAGAACATGATAGCAAAGAGGGGGAGGCTGCTGGTGAATGTTCAACTAGCACTGCTTGGAATAAACGTGGCCAGGAAGCAATGAAGTACTTCAAAAGAGCTCCAGTTTCCCACTGTATGTCGGGAACCTTTGCGGCTGATCCTCCTGTTGAGAGGCAAGAAGAAGAGGGAGGAAGAGGGGAGGCTGGCCCACAGCCTTTGGATGCAGGAGCAGCTGGCCGAAGTGCTGAGCCTCCTGTTGAGAGGGCGCAAGATAAGGAAGAGAGTTCGCCTCTGGAAGAAAAAGCTCCGGCAATGTTTGCAGAACCTGAAGGAATGGAAGAATCTTATGAAGATGCAGATGAACAGCTTGCAGGCATGTCCCAGGCTGACATGGAAGCTCTGCCCCCAACATTGGCATCACGTTCAGGAAAGGAGAAAGTGAGCCAGTTGCCCTCAAAGAGCACCAAATTCGATGCAGATGATTTTGACAAAAATGTATCATCATTTATGGGCTTAAATCAACCAGAAGGAGAAGACCGTGATCGTGAAGAAAATGCTGGTGGTGGAGCTTTACCTAGCATTCCTTGGAATAAACTTCATCATGAAGCAGTCAAGTACTTCAGAAGAGCTCCAGTTTTCCACTACATGCTGGGAATCTTTGCCACTGATCCTCCTGCTGGGAGGCCACAAATGAAGAGAAAACAAGAAGAGGAAGGGAGAGGGAGAGGGGAGACTGGGCTGGAACCTTTGGGTGGGGGAGCAGCCGGCCCCAGTGTTGATCCTCCTGTTGTGAAGCCAAAAATAAAGAGATGACTGAGAGAGGAAGAGAGAGCAAGAGGGGAGACTGGCCCACAGCCTTCAGATGGGGGAGAGGCCGCCCCCGTGCTGATCCTCCTGCTGAGGGGGTGTAATCTAAGAGAAAGTATTCAGAATAATGATGGCAGTGCCTGCAGAGTTTTTTGGTAGAATCTTATGCATAAGCTTAAAAAAAAGCAGAGAGGATCTTGCAACTCTTAAATGCCTATTATAGAATTCCAATATGCTTCTGCCTTTTTTTTAAAAAAGTATTTTATTATTAAACCTTGAAATGAGCAAAGAAAAAGCAATATACAGCAGTTAACATCAAATTCCAAACCCTTTTTGACATGAAAACCAAAAGAAAGAAGAAAAGAAATGCTTCTGCTTTTCTATCAGCTTTATCGGTTTATGCAAAATCCTTGCTCTGTAGTAATATCCTACTTTCTATAAATCAACCTTCAAACCTAGATATCACAAGCTTATTTTTCTTTTTGTGCAAATAGTCCATAAGTAGTTTAAATCCTTAAAAATGTCAGCAATAATTTTACTCTAATTAAACATGCAAATCTATTAATTTCAATAGCCATTCTTCCATAGTAATGATAAGCTCTTCTGTCTTTGTGCATATAACAATCTTGCTGCTGTAATCATATATTGAAATAATTTTCTATACTCTTTTTCTCATTGTATATCCATTAGTCCCAGTAAGAAGTTCTGCTTTTAGCTGGATATTAACATTCAAAAACCTCTGTATCAATGTGTTTGTTTCTATCCATTATTTTTTTACCTTTTAAAAAAATATTTCAATAAAGATTTTCTTCGTTTACAAAAGTACGTGCATCTTCTTTCAGGTCCCAGAGTCTTTTCTACAGGTCAGTTACATTCAGTGTGAGACATTAGTGTTGTACACAGTATAAGGTTGAGGGAGAAGAGCGGGGAGAGGGGCTGGGGTGTACTCAAATGTTATTATTTATTTTATTTATTGCATTTCTATCCCATGATTTCTCCCAAGGAGCTTTATTGGCTTCTGCGCTGAAGGAGCCAAGCCCAAAATGGCAGTATTGAGAATAAAACATGGAGAGAGGAGACATTTGAACCCAGTTCCCTGGATCTTGGTCACAATGCTGCAATACCTTCTCCAACATTTCTCCAATGAAAATAGGGACGTCCTATTCTACAATTATTACAGTGGTACCTCGGGTTAAGAACTTAATTCATTTTGGAGGTCCATTCTTAACTTGAAACTGTTCTTAACTTGAGGTACCACTTTAGTTAATGGGGCCTCCCGCCGCCAGAGCACAATTTCTGTTCTCATCCTGAAGCAAAGTTCTTAACCTGAGGTACTATTTCTGGGTTAGCGGAATCTGTAACCCGAAGCATCTGTAACCCGAGGTACCAATGTATTATTATTATTATTAATTAATAATAATTATTAATTATATAAATAATAATTATTATTTATTATCATAGCTTCCAACATGTATAAAAACATAATAAAACATTACACATTAAAAAACTTCCCTATACAGATGTCTTCTAAAGACTACTTATCTCTTTGAATTGGGGGTCACATAACTCCATGCCCTCCAACGTTTCTCTGATGAAAATAGGCACTGTGGTCTAAACCACGAGTCTAGGGCTTGCCGATCAGAAGGTCAGCAGTTTGAATCCCCGCAATGGGGTGAGCTCCCATTGCTCGGTCCCTGCTCCTGCCAACCTAGTAGTTTGAAAGCACGTCAAAGTGCAAGTAGATAAATAGGTACTGCTCCAGGGGGAAGATAAATGGTGTTTCCGTGCACTGCTCTGGTTCGCCCCAAGCACCTTAGTCATCCTGGCCACATGACCTGGAAGCTGTACACCGGCTCCCTCGGCCAATAAAGCGAGATGAGTGCCGCAACCCCAGAGTCGGTCACAACTGGACCTAACAGTCAGGGTTCCCTTTACGTTTAAGGAAAAGTGGGACTTTCCAGAATCAAATCAAAAACTGGAAATCTGTAAATCTGAGACTCTCCTTGGAAAATAGGGGAACTTGGAGGGTCTGATGCTGTTGGGTCTGATTTATGTGGAAGTGGGGATGGAGTCAGATCACCTCCGCAGGGACTGGAGTCCTCATCTATTGGCAGATTTAATAACTGGCAAGGTCTTACCTGCTAGCAAGCAGGATGGTACATCTACTGTGGATTGATTGATACAGATATCAAATCAAGAGTCCAGCTTTCCTCTGGGCAGGAGGGAGGGTGGCTCAGAGGGGCAGACTTTGGCTTGCATGAAGCACCAGGCAAAGCCACTGTCTCCCTGCCTGTCCCACCTTCTGGCTTCCCCAAGCTCTCAGCGGGCTGCAGGCATCCAGAGCCCCTGTGGACCACCACTACAGCAAGCCATGAGCTGACACCTACAAGTGGCAGGGCTACTTTCTGGCTTTGACCATCCTCACGGGCAGTGGCTGCAGCCTGGCCTGATACATCCACAACATTACCTACAACAAGGGCCAAAGGGTAGATCAGGTGTTCCCACAGATCCTCGCTGTGGATGAACCGATGCACGCAGTCATGGTGAGCCTCAGGGAGGGGGTGGGACAGGAAGGAGGCACATTTCCAGTCCTAGAAGGAAGCAGAAGGGAAACAGCTCTGTTGCAGGAGGCCAGGTGGTCACATCTTTCAGGCACCTCTGTGGACCTCAGAGGTTGCTGGATGCAAGAACAGCCCATAGCTAGCTCTGGCCAAAGGGAGAGGCCTGTCTAGCCCAGCATCCAGTTCTCACAGTGCCCAAATAACCCTAAGAACCTATTGCCATTTCTGGTGTTGAATTTGGGCCAAGCAGAGGGATTGGTTAGGTAGGGAGAATCTTGTGTCCCTGGATGAAGAAGTGAGGTGGGGAAAGGATGGGTAGCTATTTCTCTCTCAAAACGACTTCTTTGTTGTGAGATGCATGTCACTGTGACATCCATTTCCAATAGAACATTCTCTGCAGACATAGTCAACTGCTCTTCTTGAATGTTATGAAAGCCAGGCCACAGTTTGAAAACTCAGGGACAAGGCAGGGGGTTGGGACTTACTTCCATGACCTGGCATTTTATGGGGGAACACCCATTTGTTTTCATGTTGAAGTACAGTACCCAGATCCATACTTTTTGTTTCCAACCATCCTCCAGAGAGCAATGGACTTTGTCAAGACTCTGGGTCTTGCATTAACACTTTGGGGAGCGTGTTGTCTGGCTTCCTCATCATTTTTTGCCTGATTCTAACCCACCCCCTTTAAACAAGCGGAATTGAGGGAAACCAAAATCAGTAGCCAAAAATCCCAAACACAGATTGCTAGAGAGTCACAAACAGGGGATTGTATTATGTCACATCCTCTAAAATTTGTGGTGGGAACCTTATTCTTCCAATCACTGCACCTATTCTTCTTACCTACAATGGGACGGACAGGCTGTCAGAAAGCTCTCTCCAGAGAGTGCACAGCATTTTGATCTGGACAATGGACTTTTGCAACTTTCAAGGATTATTGCGTGCCTGATTTTCATCGCTGTACCTGTTTGAATCCTGGCACATCTTTCAATGTGAGCAAATCTTGTATTTTATTGTTTACTTAAACCGTCTGAGAGTGATTTCACATAGATGGGATGGGATTCAACATCTGCCTGAGCATCCTTGGATGACATAATTCTTTTAGAACATTACACACCCTTGTCTTCAAAGCTTCTAAAGATAATAATAATAATAATAATAATAATAATAATAATAATTAGGCCGGGCCAGGCTAAGGGCGGCTAACAAGCAATAATAAAAACAAGTTGAATGAATACAACTTAAAAACAAGATTAAAATACAACATTAAAATATTGAAACATTAAAATATTAAAATGCAGCCTCGTCACAGGAGGAGAAAAGGAAAAAGGAAAAAGAAAGAGGGGGAGGGAATCAAATTGGCTCCAAGCCAAAGGCCAGGTGGAATAACTATCTTACAGGCCCTGCAGAAAGAAATCAGATCCTGCAGGGCCCTGGTCTCATGAGGCAGAGTGTTCCACCAGGCCGGAGCCAGAGTTGAAAAGGCCCTGGCTCTGGTTGAAGCTAATCTAACTTCCTTAGGGCCTGAGACCACTAGGGTGTTGCTATTTATGGACCTTGAGGCTCTCCGTGGGACGTACCGGGAGAGGCGGTCCCGTAGGTATGAGGGTCCTAGGCCATGAAGGGCTTTAAAGGTCAAAAGCAGCACCTTAAATCTGACCCTGTACTCCACCGGGAGCCAGTGCAGCTGGAAAAGCACTGGGTGAATATGCTCCCATGGCAGAGACCCTGTGAGGAGCCTCGCTGCAGTATTCTGCACCCGCTGGAGTTTCTGGGACAGCTTCAAGGGCGAATTACAGTAGTCAAGCCTGGAGGTGACCGTCGCATGGATCACTGTGGCCAGATCGGGGCGGGAAAGGTAAGGGACCAACTGCTTGATGCGGCGAAGGTGGAAAAAATGTCGCCTTGGCTGTTGCTGTAACCTGCGCCTCCATGGAAAGAGAGGTGTCAAGGATTACACCCAAACTCTTAACGGAAGGCAATGGCACTAATTGGGCCCCTGCAAGAGAAGGGAGTTGGTCCCTCATCCCCATGCCATCCAGACCCAGCCATAGGACCTCTGTCTTTGAAGGATTTAGTTTCAATCGGCTACCACGAAACCATCCAGCCACAGCTTCCAAGCATCTGGTCAGTGTGTCCGGGGCCGAGTCGGTGTGGTCATCCATCAGCAGATAGAGCTGAGTGTCATCAGCATATTGGTGACAGCCCAGCCCAAAGCTCTGGACAATCTGGGCAAGGGGGCGCATAAAGATGTTAAAAAGCATCGGGGAGAGAATTGCGCCCTGCGGCACTCCACACACCAAGGAGTGGCACGATGACATCTCCCTCCCTAGTGCCACCCTCTGTCCCCGACCAGAGATAAAACAGCACAGCCATTTATGGGCTATGCCCTGTATTCCCACGTTGGCGAGGCGGTGGTCCAGAAGATCATGATCGACCATGTCAAAG